GATGATTGCAGAGCGTTTGGCTCTGGGACCACCAGCCTATGAATATTCTAAGTCCAGCCAGCTCAGCACATCATAATGTGGACTACATTCAACATTCACACATTCAAGCCAACACAGACGGCCTTCAATCTGTTCCAACGCTGGCTCAAGTCCAGAATGCACAGAAGAAAAAAAAACTTTAAACAGTGGAAGGATGGACTTCTGTGATGTGCACTTCCACCACCTCCTAAAAAATATTTAAAAGAACAAAAGCGACATGATGACCACATCTGGAACAGATGAAGGCTTCTAATTTATCAATATGATCAAAACTTTGTTGAAAAACCTGTTGTACACAATCTACATGCTTTCTGTTGTCCGATTGATAGTTTATACTTTTTTTTAGCAAGTGAAAGGCCTTTTAGTGTAATTATAAAAATGCCCACCTTCATGTTGTGGTTCACATGTCTTTTTGCTATGAAACCTTTACTGATTTTTATAAAGTAAACGTAAGAATAACTTTTATATCGTTGTTAGTAATATTTAAAGACGAAATCTTACTGAACTGAAGCAACTATGGTTTACTGGAGTATCCATACCGCTTTTTTTGTTTTTGTTTTAGAAAAATCATATTAAATACGATCATCAGGCTTTTGAGGAATGTTTATTTTTTTCATCTCCCAGTCATCTTTGTATTGCACTGCATATACTGTATATTTTGCCCCCAAAAATTTAAACTAGAGAGCTTTGATCATAAAACAAATCATTTAAATATCATCTAACTAAGACACAGTACTGGGAGATAAAAAGTAAACTGATATTTATATGCATTTTATGTAAGTAGTCTGTTTTTACATTACAAGCTATCAGAATTTCATCTTACATTTACATATAAATATCAGCAACCGCATTACATGTTATATTTTTGTTCGGTTTGAACCTCTGAATAAAAAATTAAATGAGCCAAACTATATGAGCCATAAAAGCCTGATGTATCAAAAATAAAACTCAAAACACTTTTATTTCATGTCATGCTTTACAGAGTTGCGTTATTATTTGTTGTGGTGTAAAAATGAAATGAATGATGAAATAATATAATCATTAGAAGTTACACATGCTTAGGAATACACATCGTAATCATTATTTTCCAAAAAGTTTTAAAAAATATTTATAAAAGAAAAAAGTACCATAACTTATTACTTTATTACACATGACATTTTACAACCTGGACCAGATTTGCCTTGTCATAAAAAGGTCAAACCATCTGATATTTACTGACCTGGACACAATCATGAGGGTCTCAGGCTCTATTAATCTTGGTTGCACCACATGACTTTCAAAAATTAATTAAACAATCTCAATTGTTGGTTGAACTATTCCTTTAAAGGAGTTCCCTGAGGCAGGGTGTACATTTTCGTGTTGACTAGGCAGAACCAAAATAGATTAATTGGCCGATTTGCAGGCTAACTGGTTTTGAAATGCAGCTCATCGCAATGTCACAATGAATCAAGTTGACACAAGAGAACATTTTCATCTCTGTACATATATTTATATATATAAATGTATACATATATTTATAAAGGGCGGTGCTTCCAAACATAAGCAGATTATATCCAAGTTCAGGGCAACATTCTCAAGGCATCCATTCCAGAATTCTTTGCCCCGCCACCCCACACTACGCCCCCTGACCGCCCCAACTACCACCACCCTGTGAGTGAGATCTGTCCAGAGCTTGCGTAGCATTTTACCATCTGTCAGCACCATCAGCCTGTGGGTGCCAATCACGCCCTGTCACTCCCCAGCGATACCACCTTCCTCAGCCAATCACTGCAAAGAACTACCTAGAAACATGTCCTCCCCTACCAATCAGGATCCAGTGCCTCATCCACCTGTCTCTGTCCTCACATGGAAATATATGCATGCCTAAATGCACTTACACATACACACGCACACTCAGAAAGATATCCGAAGTTCCTCTTCGCACGTCTTTTGAGCTTGAACGCACACGATTTCCAGAGTGAAATAAATGACAACTTCTGCTCCTGAAGATCTACCCTTCTGCAGTTCAGTTCTAACTCTAATCAAATAGTGCGTCGGAAGTCATGTCGGAAGACTTATTTACGAGTTGAACGCACATGAACGGAACCACAACATTGTAATTACAACTGGGAAACTTAGGATTTTCTTTAAGCCCCATGTTTCTGGGTTAGGGGTGCGTCAGTTTAAAAAAAAAAAAAGTTTTAAACTTGCATGTACAAAATTCCATAGCATTGTACAATTATGGCACAATATATAATGATTCAATTTACAACACCATGAATTGAAAAAAAAGAAGCAAAAACACACCCCATGCACATTCTTTATTCATCATTTTGTAGATGTAGAGTTAAAAAATCTTGTCGACTTCTATGCAGAAAAGGTAAATCTCCATCTCGCTCCGACCAAAGCGATTTGAATGCACCTGACCGTTATTACGACTTCCAAACTCGTAAATACGAACTTCCCAGGAGGACTTGAACACACTATATATCAGCCAACTAATCAAGGCCTTCTGGTTCAAGGTGGTTTAAAATACTTAAAAAGAGAGTATCCATTAGTATTCCCATTCTCAAGCCAATCCATTAGCACACCAGGGACCAGTTGCATAAACATAGCCACTATGTTAAGACTGTGTCTTAGAAACTATAGTTTCATCAACGAGTAGCTAGCCAAGAGGTAATCAGACTTACTTTTTGGATTCAAATAAGACCATTCTTCCTTTTTATAACTGACTTTAAAAAAGTCTTAAAGGAAAAAAAAAATTGATTTAAGCGGTTTATGACCCCAGACTTTTGGTCAACCGTTTAGGCCTTACAGGAGCAGTTTGTTGACAACTGGGATGGTGGAATGTAGCATTAAATTGATAGCACATCAATGAAGACAAATGGAAAATACTGACTTTATTTCAAACCTTAAGAATCAAAGATATGGCTGGATGCATTACAATCACAGCCAAAACACAAATTATAGAATATCTATTCTATAATATCTCTCAGCAAGATGCATTATGAAAAAGGCAAATGGCCACATGTGTACTCCACAGAACGGAAACATTCTTTATCAAATGGCCATTACTGTAATGACTGTAAATACAGAAGATTACAGAAAACCCGTGAACAGCTGCCACATACTCAAGTAAGTTGGAGGACCTGTGTGAAAATCACTAGTAAAAAGGGGCCGCACTGGTGTTATATCCCTACTGGATTTAATAAAGACACGCAGACTGTCAGAGAAGACAAATGAGGAAGTGGAGGATGTAACATTTCTGCCGTTGTAGTGCTGGCAAAAAGACAGACGCCACAGCTGTAAGCAGCCGAATGGAGTTTGTGCCAGTGTAGAAAGACTTCATATTATCAAGAATATACTTTAAGAGATTATTTCTTCCACAGAACACAAAAGAAGATATTTTGAAAAATGTTGCAGTGTCTTTTTGTCCATACAATGTGGGTTTGGAGCTACTGGCTTTCATTATAAGGACAAAATGGATAGATGACTCGCATTCACTGCAGAGGAGCCATTGGTGAGCAAGTGATGGAATGCTACATTTCTCCAAATCAGTTCCCATGAAGAAGCAAACTCATCTACATTTTCCTTAAAGGGTTAGTTCACCCAAAAATGAAAATTCTGTCATTAATTACAGTGGTTGAATCAGTGGTTCAACTGTAAAGTTACGAAGCTATGACACAGTAGAGACGAAAATGTGGAATAAAGTCGTTATTTTTGTTCTTTGCGCAAAAAAGTATTCTCGTAACTTTACAGTTGAACCACTGATGTCACACAGACTACTTTGTCGATCATCTTGGTACTTTTCTGGACCTTGAACGTGGTAGTTACCTTGCTGTCTATGGGAGGGTCAGAGAGCCCTCATATTTCATCAAAAATATCTTAAATTGTGTTCCGAAGATGAACGAAGGTCTTACGGGTTTCGAACAACACGAGGGTGAGTAATTAATGACAGAATTTTCATTTTTGGGTGAACTATCCCTTTAAAGTGTGACTCGAGCATCCACATTTTTTTGGAATCATTGCACATGCAAATAAATTATGTAAAAATTCGATAGAAAACTAAAGTTTCTAAAATTTTAGCTCATGAAATGCCTTTATTATGTTTTAAAGCATATTGCGGATGAAGTTCACACATACACGCACAATGAGCTTGCACTTTGCACTTCTTTAAATAAGCCCTATTAAAATAAAGTTAGTGCTGCAGTAAAGCCTGAAAATATCACTGTTTGGCAGGCTGCCTGCTTCACATCTGAATCATCCCACAGTCACACACACGAACATACATATTTGCTTAGTTATCTAAAGAGAAAATAACAATTAAAACAAATATAAATAGAATGTGTGTGTATGTATGTGTATATATATATATAATACAGAACAATTAAAAAAATTTAAATAGATTTTTTTTAGAATTAAAAACAATTTTACTTAGTTTCTTATTTAAAACTATTATTATCTATTTTTAAGTATTGTTTTTACAAATAAAGGCATTACACACATGCCTTGATATGTAGGTCCTTTTAAATGGCCATCAGTGTTGAACGATGCTTTTATCAGGCATATGATGGGGCCATGCTAATCAAACCTTCATCCCTTGAGTGCAACTAATTAATTGAATTTAGAATCACAGTCAAGGGGCGACACTAACTTTGCATCTGGGGCCCATTTGCAGCCATTACTACCGGCCATTACGAGAGGCCCCGACATCACTTCCTCCCCACCGGGCCCATTGATTAGCCAAGATCATCTGATGAGAGGTTATAGCTGATGACAGCTGTACACTTTCCAGACCTCACTGCACTATGCCCACCTGGGGTTATGAGATGTTATTAATACATTTTTGAAGATCACACACGCACATTCTGACTCATTCACACACATCATTCCCATCATCCACAAAACTGAGAAGATACAGATTCTTCCATTTATCAGTGAGGGACACAGGCCGGCAACACAAGTCTAATGAAACTGGATACCCTCTCTTAGACACACATCCTCCATTAGACTGTCTGTCCCTGTCTCTGTCAAAGCTCTTATGAGATAACCATGAGCTGTACTGATAGCAGCAGCTGAGAATAGAGCAGTGACGGCCTTTTTGTTTCTGCAGACCACACTGGGACAGTGATTTGAGAAGCAAATGAGTGCACAAGTTATAAATCAACAACGTCAGGCTAGCTGCATTTCTAATAAAATTCTAGCCTTGTCAAGTTGGCTAAATTGTGTACAACTGTTCGGCTGTGTGTCCATCAAAACGTTTTTTTTTAGTTTTTTTTTACAGAAGCTAGCATATTTTTCCAATCGTTTTCAATGGGAGTGCCACGTTTTTAGAGCGCCTGGCATTTTTCTGCTGGCTAAAAACACTTTGGTGGGGACACATGGCCTAAGTGCGGTTTTCATGCGAAACGATTCAGAACATGTGCGTATAAGCACGTACAATTCTAGCCTTGTCAAGTTGGCTAAATTGTGTACAACTGTTCGGCTGTGTGTCCATCAAAACGTTTTTTTTAAGTTTTTTTTTACAGAAGCTAGCATATTTTTCCAATCGTTTTCAATGGGAGTGCCACGTTTTTAGAGCGCCTGGCATTTTTCTGCTGGCTAAAAACACTTTGGTGGGGACACATGGCCTAAGTGCGGTTTTCATGCGAAACGATTCAGAACATGTGCGTATAAGCACGTAAATTTTTTCTTAGCCTCGTTCTCATGTTGATAAATATGGATGATTGTAAACAAGTGAGGCAGCACGTGTTTGTAATTACTAATTAGCATAACACACGACAAACCATCTCCATATACTCAAATCACCTGCACAGCCATTCATCGCTAATCAAACGTATCTTTGCACGTTTTACAGACTCGCTCTGCATGCACAGCAAGCACCTTGAGAAATATGAAGTGCGCTGTTATCAATACCAGTTAAAACACAGTTAAAAAAACTTTTGCACTCATGTTTTACAAGCAAATAGGTGCGTATGCGTGTACATAAACCCCCCAAAACTATTAAAAATTTACAGACTCGCTCTGCATGCACAGCAAGCACCTTGAGAAATATGAAGTGCGCTGTTATCAATACCAGTTAAAACACATTTAAAAAAAAGTACTAAAACTTTTGCACTCATGTTTTACAAGCAAATAGGTGCGTATGCGTGTACATAAACCCCCCAAAACTATTAAAAATTAGAAAAAAACATGACAAAATTACTAACACTTTAACTAAAATTAAAACAAAACCAGAAAGTTGTAAAAGCAGATAAAAATAAACAAATACAAAAATAAATAAAAACTATAATAGTATCTCATTGATTCTAAAATAATGTTGTGAATATGATTTCAATATTGCATAAGAAAAATGTTATTATTATTAATAGGCTAAAATTTTTCTGAAAACTTTTTAGAATTATCATAGTATTAGTTTAAAAAGTACTAAAGCAGTTATGTTTTAAAATATCATATTTATGGAAGCCCGTTTCCGCCACTGAATTAAAAAAAAACAGTTGGATTTTTACTCGCAATTTACAACAAAAATTGCGAGTTATAAAGTCAGAATTGCAAGATATAAAGTCAGAATTGCGAGATATAAAGTCAGAATTGCGAGTTATAAAGTCAGAATTGTGAGTTTATATCTCGCAATTCTGACTTTTTAACTCGCAATTGTGAGTTTGTATCACGCAATTCTGAGAAAAAAAGTCAGAATTGTGAGATAAAAAGTCGCAATTAACTCTTTTATTTTTTATTCAGTGGCGCAAACGGGCTTCCATTAATATTTGATTCTAAAACTTCATTTGAAAAAAAAAATATATATATATACATACTACATGCATATATATATATATATATATACACACACCTTAATATTTTTTAAACGTTTTTGAAATTAATAAGGAACATTACTTTTCGTCTGATGGTTTACACTGCTTGACTAGAGTCATTCATTGAAAACTTGTTAAAAAACAGTATAAAAGTTGAAATACATTCCAGTAACTTGTTTGTTGCATCATCATTGTGGCATTTGAAAGAAACAGCAGGTCCACCTGAGTTCTTGTTCGAGTGTGATGTTTTGGGTGTTATGTAAGATTGACTGTGGGTGGACATGAGTCACCTCGACCCTTAAAATGTCTACATGACTCACTCTTCATAAATCTGCCTGATATTTACATTGTGAAGGAACACGAATAGCCCGTACCTTCACACATCCCACCCCACAGACAATCAACGCCAACCTGCAGCTGTGTCATCCTCTCAGACTGCCTCCAGAGGGAAACTTTAGCTTTTTTTGGCATCTTATCAAGTTCAGCTAATGACACCAGAAACACAGGGTTGGCTTCCCCACCGTGCTAAACGAAACAAACAATGTTTGGCAGGTGCCACTGAGTTTGAGTAAGAAGAGACGTGGCGTAGAAAGAAGCTGCTGGGAAACACTGCTAGAACCCTGTAGGAAATGTAAATTTGAACTTTAGTTGTTCAAACATGAATGTGTCTCCTCCAAAATAATAAAAAAGTATTTTGAAATAGAAATGTTTCCTCATGATAGTCCTCACGTAGAACCTTGTTAACTACTTGCATAGTGGACTAAAACACAAACACTAAAGCTATATGCTAAAGCATCAAACACAAACTTCATGTAGAACCTTGTTAACTCACACAGTTGACAAAAACACTAATGCTACTATGCTAATGCTACTTCATCAAATACATCAACTGGCATCCTTGTGGTATTTGTAGTCTACATGTAGAACCATGTGCAGTGGACTTAACAGACACCTAAACACTAATGCTACTATGGCTAGTGCCTATTTAGCAAAGAGTTAGCATCACTCTGTGATCAATATGTAAAACAAGAAATAATTGTAACTGATTAACAAACTAGTAATTAATACTCATGGGCAAAACTGACACGCTTTATGCTGTGCCCACTACTTTTCAGATCATCCCTATACCCCTTCAACTATTAATTTTGTTGCTAATATGGTGAGGAGTTTTTTTGGCATGGCCGGGTGGGTTTGTGTTACGAGGAAGATCATATGGAGTCTCAGAGAAAGACAAGCTGTCACAGGGTCTGTAAAGCCGCTGTAAAACATGGCTTGCCTGTTGCCACGTGCCCTCTAAATTAATCTTTGAAGCCCTCAGAGGCTGCAAGTATGTGTGGTCTGTTCTATGGTTTTGTGTTTGTATTAACTTTTAATTTGAAGAAATGATGTACAGAAAATCCAATTTCACCAGATATTTTACTTAAAAAAAAAAAATAATAATAATAAAGCATATTTTTGGAATACTATTAAGGTTTCTGCATATTGAAAAGACAACTGACACTTAAGCTCCACCTTAAAAACATTATTGATCAATCCAACCTTATTAGCTTTCCCCCCTTTACCTTATTAAAAAAAAAACTACATAATTTAAATGATAATAATGAGATTTTGACTGGAAAATGTGCTTAATTGTCATAAAAAAAATGTCACAATGCAAAAGATATTAAAATCCTTAATCAAATTTTCATGCATTTGTCTGTTTTTCTTCCCCTTTATGATAAAAAAGAATGGCCTAGAGATTTATTTTGCGATCTTAACTCGTGAATGTAAAGGACAGATGATATATTTAAGGTAATACTTCAGGAAACTTCCATTAAAAATCATAAAAACTGTCCAACAGTGACTGTCGATGAGAAAAAACTTCTAGGTGCCGACACTAGTGGATTATGGGGCAATTATTCCATGTATTTCGACCCTCCTCATTTATCCAGCTTGCTGAACAATAGCTACCGCGGTCTTGGCAACGATCGGTGTTGCTAATATGGTGAGGAGTTTTTTTGGCATGGCCGGGTGGGTTTGTGTTACGAGGAAGATCATATGGAGTCTCAGAGAAAGACAAGCTGTCACAGGGTCTGTAAAGCCGCTGTAAAACATGGCTTGCCTGTTGCCACGTGCCCTCTAAATTAATCTTTGAAGCCCTCAGAGGCTGCAAGTATGTGTGGTCTGTTCTATGGTTTTGTGTTTGTATTAACTTTTAATTTGAAGAAATGAAAATCCAATTTCACCAGATATTTTACTTAAAAAAAAAAATATAATAATAATAAAGCATATTTTTGGAATACTATTAAGGTTTCTGCATATTGAAAAGACAACTGACACTTAAGCTCCACCTTAAAAACATTATTGATCAATCCAACCTTATTAGCTTTCCCCCCTTTACCTTATTAAAAAAAACTACATAATTTAAATTATAATAATGAGATTTTGACTGGAAAATGTGCTTAATTGTCATAAAAAAAATAAAATCATTATATAATCATGTCATAATATCATAAAAAGATATTAAAATCCTTAATCAAATTTTCATGCATTTGTCTGTTTTTCTTCCCCTTTATGATAAAAAAAATGGCCTAGAGATTTATTTTGCGATCTTAACTCGTGAATGTAAAGGACAGATGATATATTTAAGGTAATACTTCAGGAAACTTCCATTAAAAATCATAAAAACTGTCCAACAGTGACTTTCGATGAGAAAAAAGCTTCTAGGTGCCGACACTAGTGGATTATGGGGCAATTATTCCATGTATTTCGACCCTCCTCATTTATCCAGCTTGCTGAACAATAGCTACCGCGGTCTTGGCAACAATCGACCGCTGTCGCCTCTGGCTTGCTTAGTTGGGGACACTTATTTTCTAGCGATATCGTTGACATGATTGCAAATGATTGCAAAGATACTATTTAAACTGAGCTGGATGATGACATCAATGAATTGAATGATGAACTGTCTTTAACTGAAAAATGAGTGTTTACTATTGTCATTTTGCATTATTGACACACTATTTTCCTAATTAATGCTGTTCAGTTGCTTTGACACAATCTGTATTGTTAAAAGCGCTATATAAATAAAGGTGACTTGACTTGACTTGGCCTGACCTCAGTGCAACCTGCTAGCAGGCCCGTCTCTGTTTCAGATGTGGATGAACCTTACACTGGCTTAGTATGGAAAAAGAAGATTACTCATCCAATATTGCATGTTGATCTGTATCTGAATACACCACAAATCAACCATGACTTGTCAGGGTTTGAAGTAAAGATAATTAATAAAGCGAGAATTTAGGGTCTTATACAACATCTTAGCTTTCTTTAG